CCAGGAAGGAAGGAAGGAAGGAAGGAAGGAAGGAAGGAAGGAAGGAAGGAAGGAAGGAAAATTTGGAATTTCAATTTCAGTTCTATTTTTGTCAATCTTCTACAATATATACGAGTGATAGGATATATATCATATGCATTTTATATCACTCATATATTAACCTTAAATTGCGATGCATTGCTATGTGGGCTAGCTTTATAATGCACCTGAGCTTGAGAGGAACATTTGAAATTTTGAGAAAGTATCCCAAAAAATCTAATTTCACAGAAAGGCAAACTGATGAGATTTAGTGGAGATAATCTCTCCCAGTCACCCAAACTCCTCTCAGTTTCTCACATACATAAATGAGTTAGGAAACATAAATCCTGCTAGAACAACAACCTTGCAGTTAAAGAAAGCAAGATCTTTGATAACTATTTGACAGGCTCTTTTGGCATTGACCATTTTGTTATTTTGCATTATAAATTGTATGTGTGTGTGTTATGTTTAGCATGATGTACAACACAGCCAATACAATTTGTGCAAAACAGGTCATTTTAACTTATTAAACATCAGAATTTAAAAATCTTGGTTTAGTATTATTTTATAGACAATGTGTTAATGTTTGTTTACATTTGGAACTTTGGATTTTTCATAAACTAATTTTTGCATATGAAAATGTCTTTGTGTAACATGCAAGACAAACCCATTTCCTACTGAAAACCACATTTAACCTTTTTAACTCACTTACTTTGCAAAATAAAAAAATGATTATAACATATTAACATATAAATGATTATTGTCACAATGTATTAAAATATAACTGAATCATTTTAACTAAGCATAACTAAATAACTTTAATGAAGAGAAGGACGAGGGGGGACATGACAGCAGTGTTCCAATATCTCAGGGGTTGCCACAAAGAAGAGGGAGTCAAGCTATTCTCCAAAGCAGCGGAAGACAGGACAAGAAGCAATGGATGGATTGGCAATGCTCTTTTTCTGTCATACCAGCTTGTAATTCTTTTGTTTCTACTATTTAAAATTCATTTATTTGTTTAGATATGTTTTTAAATTGGATTTCAAAGACTGCCTAACCATATCATTACTCAGGGAATGTAGAGAGAAAAGATGACCTTGAAAGAGATATGCAGATTATGCTTAAACAATGGAGGATGAAGCATTTTTTTAAGAGTGAGATAACTTTAGAAAAGTGGCTCAGGCACATGTCTCCCCAATTCACTGGAGTATAAGAAGGAGGAAGAAGTACAACACAACATTGCCAATCTCAATACAAGTATTTTGGGCTTTGCTGTGAAGTTGATTCTTTGTTCTGGTCTACCTAGTGAGTTAACAGGGAAGTCTAGAACTTGGCGCAGCCAGCTCATCTCTGCCAACTCATCGCCACCAACAGACAAATTCAGAGGAGCAAACTCAATATGGCCAATTTGCTGTTTGGACAACTCACTGCAGATAGCCAGAGGGAAAGCCAGGTGGGCAAGCGACTGGGTTGGCAGAGTGCAGAGCGGCGGTGGCAGCTGGGGACTTCCCACCAATGGGAGAGCCGGGTGGGGGGGCGAGTGAGTGAGTGGACAAAGTGCAGTGCATTAGTGGCTAGAGGCTTCCCATTTTCACAACCCCTGCAACCACCACCACATCGAGCTCTGGGCCTTTCAGAGTTCAGGGGGTTTAGCCATAGCAACAGCTGACAGGGAGGTGGCAGAGGCCAGGTGCATCCCATTTTCAGTCCCAGTATGAAAATGGGATGCATATGACCTCTTCTGCCTCCCTGCTGCCCATCCCACCCACTGCTGCCATTGCCAAATGGCCCGAACTCTGAACAACCTGAGCTTGGCACGGTGGCGGTGTGTTTGTGTGAAAATGGGAAACCCCAGCCACTGTCACTGCCACTCTGCCCACCCGCTTGCTCATCTGCCCATCCAGCTCTGCCTCCGACTGCCTGTAGTGAGTTGTCCCTGAGGGGAATTGGGAGTGTTGAGTTGTCCTGCAATGATTTGGCAATGGTGAGTTGGCAGAGGGAATTTGGCAGTAGCAAGCTAGAGGCAGTGAACTGGCTGTGCTGGGCTGGCCATGCCAAGTTGCTCCGTTCCATAACAGGGAGGCCTATAGAGATGGTTAAAAACACAGTATAACAATAGACAATCATTTAGAAAATAAGAACATTTAATATTTAAAACTCAGAGTCTACTTGGAAGTTCACAAATTACCCTGGGTCTTTAAAGGTTCTCCTGAAGGACAGCAGATTAGAGACCATGGAGAAAATGCCAATATCAAGGATACCATAGGTATATAGAACATTTTTTTAAAAAAGCAGAATCTAAAAAATTAAATGGACTTAACAACCAAGAGCATTTCACCACCAATTTGAATAGTTAAAAATGAAGCTTTGCACAAATTCAGATACCACAATGAAGATCCCAATTAATAGTATATTTGGTTAGTACCAAATTGATGCTGATGTGACTTTGCCTACAATTAAAATTCCCAGAGAAAATGTAGGATATCTTATCAAGACACAGATATGAGATAGGAAAATTCTTGCTACTACTAGTCTTTACAAGGCAACGGTGATCTTTTCAAGTGAACATAAGAATGGACATTGGGGATTATTAGCTCCTATGTGTCAGGCACACAGCAGATGCGACTGTAAACTATCCAATAACACTTATTGATGTTAATAACTATATTTTTGTGAGCACATACTTTATTATTGTCTGGTTTCTCTTTAGAATCTCTCTTTTTTTTCTCTCTCTCTCATACACATAGGCACACCCTTTGCATAAAGAATAAATTGAAAACATGAATGGAAATCTCTGAAAAATCCAATTCATGTCTTGCATTGTTTTCATAAATTTATTTCTGAAAGAATATCTGTTATAAGGAATTATGCAAACACAAGATACGAATTATTTTATTTTCGTAATGGAAAAATAACTAATTGAATTGTGGGAATATGTTTTGATGACTACAATAACTTCGTATTGTAAAAGTAAATCCAACAGACTTCAATTTAAACTGAAAAATGGATTTGCGCCACATTCAAAAACTGAGATTTTTATGTATAAATTCTATACATCAATTTTATTGGATATCTAAATCAGAACAGAATTTTGGTAATATGGATTGAATTTATCATATTTTATACTTGGTGACTTTCACTGTGCTGACTATACTTAACTCTGAGTTTAATAGTAATTTTTAGTCATTTAAAACAATACAATATATTCAGTTACTCATAATTAACCATGTTATGTTGGAAAATTATAATCTCCACATTATTTTTAAATCACTTTTCTATTGACTTGTATTTCGTGCTTTTATCTCTTGTTTGTTTTAATGTATCATTTTAAAAATAGTTTATAAATATCTCCCTCCCCTGAAAAAACTATTCATATAAGTTGGAAGGAAAGGAAACTAGTAAGTTGATATTAAAAATTATTTATTAAAGAAAATGTTTAAGCTATCAGTTTGATGAATTTTAAGCTATTCACAGTGTTACAACTTCTGTATGAACTTATCTTTGAACTTTGGGAAGTAGTAGTAGTAGTAGTAGTAGTAGTAAAGTTGGAAGGGACCTTGGAGGTCATAAAGTCCAACCCCCTGCTCAGGCAGGAAACCCTATACCATTTCGGACAAATGGCTGTCCAGTCTCTTCTTAAAAACTTCCAGTATTGGAGCATTCACCGCTTCTGGAGGCAGATCATATACTAATCATCTATTTATACTATCATTTATTTATCTATTAATATTATACATATATTACCCAGCAATTTACATTTTCAAGATGATCAATATTAACATTTCAAACAATAAAAATAACAATTGAAAAATATAGGGAAAAAGGAAGATAAAATAAAGTACTTGAAAAATAAAGCTAAATTAAACCTTAATGTTAGAACTTGATGATGGAACTTTGACGGGACAGATCACTCTATGAGTGAAATATTATTACTATAAAACTGTTAGTATATTCACAATGTTTTCAGAATTTACTCTTCAACTTGGATACAAAATAGGTTCTTTTTATTCTTTCATATATGTTCATAGAAATGAAAGCAGCCATTTATAACAATTTAGTTCCTTACTGAAACATCTCAATCAAGTGGCTGTTCCACTCCTTCATGAACACTTATAGTTGAGCCTACAAGTTTAATTTGATAATTGGTTTCTCTGTTAAGAAGTTTCACTTAATGTTTGATTGGAATTTGTTCTCCATTAATTCAAGAGCATTATTTCATGTCTTGATTCTGAAACAAAAGAGACCATATGTGATCCCTTCCAGAAACTTCAAGAGTGCTTTCATTTCTTTCCGCTGTCTTCTTCCTAATTCCTAATTCCATTAATATAATTTGGACTTTTTTCCAGTCCCTTCTATTGAACAGTTTACAGGAATTTATCTGAAAGTATGGTGCCTTGAATTAGACAGGGTATACTCAGGGCAGGGTATGACTGATTCAGAACACAATAGAACCATTGTTCCCTGTGATTTGGAAATTATTTTTTTTCTCAATAACAAGAAATGGGTGTTCAATATTTTTATGTGCAGTATAACATTGGAGAGACTAATCCAGGCAGTTGTCAGGAGTCAACACTGACTTGAAGGCACAGAAGCAAACAATCCTATTATCATACTATTCTAAGAATATGATAGCAAGACAAAACCAAACAACAAAAGTGTACAATAAACAAACCAGAAAAGAAAACTATAAGAATGCTATGGGGCCATTTGTAATTTACGTTCAGCAAAAAGTCCTATACTACTTACTCTTAGTTATATTTGCATAAGAAAGTTTACAATTCTGGTATATACAGATATAGATATATAAAAATACATTCTGGTTTTGATTTGAAAAAAGTTGAAATCTTGAGATGGAATCCCATCCTTTCATAGACCCAGTAACAAAAATTCTATAATGACCAAGAAATTAGTTTACTATATTTCAAGGCTATTTAGGATCAGGATGTTAAGAAATAAACAATCTCTCTGTCTCTCTTTCTTACCTGGGAGGAAATGAAATGTCCAGTTCATATAATTTGTCTTTAAAGACTGACAGCTCTTTGTCAAATTCCAAAAGCTAATGGAAGAAAAACAGAAGACAACATTAAAATAAATACAAGTTCTGTTCTGCTTAAAAATAAGAATACCGGTAATTGGGGCACTTTGAATTACTATGTTGTAATTTTCTTCAAGATTTTGCTAGTGCCATACTTCATTATTTCATGGTACACAGAAAGCATTTTAAAATATCACCTATAAAACAAAACATAGAAATAATGAAATTTGCTGGAAATTCTGTGTAGTTTTCTAATATGCTGGAAAAAAAAACCCAACAACCTCAGCATCAAAAATTACCCTGTTAAACGTTTTTAAGAATGCAAAACTTCAGTGATAATATTTTTAAAAGTAAAGTATATTCAGAAAAATTACACTTTCTCATAAAAAAATCTCCCAGTCATTTCATTATTTAGTAATAAACGTAAAGGTTAGGAGGAAGAAGATGTGAAACTTGAATTTTTTGTTCACAACCCCATCCCCAGGAAATATTTCTATTCAGCTATTTTGGGAAAGTTAACCAGTTTTCTCCAAGTAAAGAGAGCAAAACATTACATTCATATGGAGATTATGGCATTCTCAGGAAGGCACCAAAATAGAGCAGAATTATATATTGTAAGCCATTTTTAATATTTATACATACAAATATTTTGTCCACTAAGAAAACTGATAAATACTCTAAGCTTGCATTCAAAATTAGTGGATATTTCAATCCAGGAAATATCCTGAATGACAATAAACCCCACCCTCCCCATTATTCCATACCTAACAACTGGTGGTGAATCTGACATGCAAATGAATGTGTAACATAATTGGCCCTTTGCTGTCTAAGCCACTTTCAGTTTTGGCATGCATGCCATTGAAAACAACACTCCTTATAATACTGGTGTGTTTACTCCCTGTTCATTAATCATGTCCCAACTCACAGCTGTGCTGATACCATTGTATCAATGGCAGAGGTTCCGAATGAAATTAGATTATGTTCTTCTTTCCCCTCTGCTCCCTCATAAATCATTCCTGAAATGTGCAATTAGCAACTACTTGTACACATTAATTATCTGTGTGAAAAGCAGATACCTGAACCACCTGCACAACTGATTAGCTCCCTCCCTTGTGACCCACCTATGTGGCTTTCAGTCTCCAACTGCATTGTTCCTGGCCACCAATCTAGGTGGATGTTTGCCAACAGTGGCTATGCACAGATGCCAACATTAAAACCTATTCCTCTTTTTCTTGAATTACTTCTTGTCACAGTGAGCAAAACTCCTATTTTCTAAGTGGAAATATCAAAAGTCATAAGAAGTTTGAAGTGAGATGCCAATACCCATAATGAAATTCCCAATCAAATGTCTCAAAGGACACAATAAAATAGTGCAAGTTGTGTGCCCCATAAATGCTTTTAAATCAATATTTGAGAATCAAAATTGAGGATACCTAAGCATTATCTAATTTTAACAATTCAAAATCCCCTGTGACATTATAATTTAATTGACATCCCACCTTTCTACAATGATAGTTTATGCAAAAATAACAGCAGACTCCATGAGAGAGAAGGAGAGAAAGAGGAGGGAAAAAACCCCAAGTTGAATTTAATTAAAGCTAACAAAAACACACAACAGTTTATAATCAAGATGCTACCGATTGCCTAATAGATGAATACAAACATTTATATTGTTGTTTCCTTCCTCTCATATCATATAGCTCAGAGTTACTGTATCAGTGAGATGTGCAGCATAGAAATTAAATATATAAGTAAGTAAATAAGCAAGTAAATATACGACACAAATTGATTTGGCCCGCTTTAAGTAAAGATGTATCACAATGAAGTGATATGTAGATTATATTAATAAATAAAATTAATATTCTCTCTTAACTATGATGTGAAAAATAGATTTGGGTTGCTTTCTGTATTAAGAGGAATCTAACTCACATTAGCAGTGGTTCAAATCAAAGAGGATAATGAAACATGAAGCTTTATTAAAGACAGAAAGAGCAAAACGAATCTCATTGGAACAAGAGAACTAAAGTCAGATTTATGTTACATGGATGAGCATCAAGTCTTTTAATAGCCTAGTTCACTTTCATGTAAATCACTGTACACTGGTATATGCTGTGCATTTAAGTACTAGTATTATCATAGCATAACCCTGTGATCAGGGTTTATTATCAAGTCATGTACACGATGGAAAAATAGAAAGGAAATCTCCAACACATACATACATGCACCATATCGAGACATATGTGCCTTGCTTTTATTCTTGACAATGGATGGGAAGGAACTTCTGGCCTTCTGGTTGTGCCGAAGTCCAGCTTCTAAGGCATTTTCCTCCACTGGCTCCACGAGTACAAAAGTACAAAAATTCGGGAGATTTATTTTCTCCCAAATTTTGGAGGAAATATTATTATCCATAATATTAAAATCTTTCACAGGATATATGGAAAACTGCTATACACTTCTCCTTTTTGTAGGCCAGGGAGATACTTGGATTATATAACTATCCCTAAACTCCAGAGAGTACTAACTTTAGCATATTTTAATGTCCTCCTTAAGACAATTCTTAAGAAGGGAAAAAAGTTCCATGTTAGGTAAGACCCTTGAGGAGAAGGTGTAATCTATATCTCAATATGCTGCATTTTTTATAAGGATGTGAGGTTTACCTCATCACTCTTATTTAACCAAGTACCCAGGCAATTCTGATTTTTTCTGTGCGTAGCTGAATTCAGTTTTCATAAAGGTGGACAAATTTTGTTATACTATAAAACCAAAAAGATATTGATTTATTAATGAGGTAGCTAAAAACAATATTGTTTTATTGTTTCATCTGTAGTTAATTTGCTGAATTCTAGTCAGTCTAGACATAATAAAGTACTGTTACTGTTGCTAATATAAATTTATATATTTGTGTTCATATACATATGGCAATTTCAGCAAAATTTTCCAGTCTTTGCTTAGTGAATATAAATTGTAATTAGCATAACACTGAATAGCATCAGAATAATTATATTGGAGAAAATTGTAGCTTAGTACACATTTCAAATAAGTGGCTTTTGAAGCATATTTTAAAAAAACGGACAGAAAAAGTGACATTTAGATAAAGCAAGGTTGCTTGTAAAATGTAAAAAATGCAAACAGAATAAACAATGCTTCACAGAATACAATGGTAAAACATATTCATTAAGAATTCCAGTGGACATGGAAAGTTAAATAGAAGCGTTGTCTTCCTGGATGAATTCAAAATATCTACTGTGTATGCATCCAGCTTCTTAGTATGCACTTTTTGTTTGGTTTTCTTGATGACAATATTCAAAAATTGACAGAACCAAGGCTGATAGTATTGAAAATATTAACCAATAAAGCTTTTAACTAGTTTCACTATTTTTAATATACTATGAATAGCTGCTTGTATAAATGTGTTGTATGTTGTATATAAGCTATTGATATTGTTACAATACAGATGACAAATAACGGAAATAAAATGTACTGGCAGCTGTTGGATCCTTCCAAATTTTTAAGCAGTAACAGTTTTTTGGGGGAAGCAACTGCAAGCAAAATTGCTTAAAGATATCTCGTGTCAGCTGCAGTAGAGGTGTTATTAACAATTTCTGCTTTTATTGTTATTTTGTAGTTTTAACTACTTGCTCAGGCAAAAGCATCTGATTTCTAAAGAAAAAGAAGAAAATGTTTTGAAGTTCAGTTCAATAGATACTATGACATAGTTGGGGTCTAAAAATGTTAAAAGCTTTTCTCTAGAAATGTTGTTTTCATGTAATCCCTGTGTGGTCTTTTGATTTTGTAGCTTTAACCCTGTTTGGAGGAGGGTGGTCTACCAGGGAGCTATGATGCATGGATACTTTCTTTCAGAAAGGTTATTTGAATAGCTATGTCAATGAAGTTCTGAACTAATTAAATTAAAAATTAAGCAACTAACTTGGATCAGGCAAGAGTTGTAATGGTAGTTCAATGTGGAAGTTTTGAACTGTTAACAAAACAATGCAAGTTGTAATAAAATAGTAAGCACAAAAATAGTAAATGCAATAGATTTTTAAAAGGAATTCCAGGGTTTTGTTTTGTTTTTTTAAAAAAAAGAATAAAGAAATTATAATTTTAGTAGCAAATCTCTTCTAGGATCTAGTGATTAGGCAACATAGAGTTAGTTGTAAACAAACATAAGGAAATCGCACACTCACAAAGAAGTGTTGAGAAAGAATTAAAAGAAGTCCTGCCTCACCACTGATTTATCTTAGGCAGTAGACCAGACATGTCAAACTCGTGACGTCACGTGACGTCGCACAACGTATCGGAGCTTTTTCACCGTTGCCAACAATGGGGAGGGCGCAGCTCCGGTATGATGAAACCGGCCCGCGGGCCAGCAGTTTAACACTCCTGCAGTAGACGAACGGGGTGATTCAGCTGAAGTTACATTCTTAATCCATTTCTTTTTTTTATTTTACCATTCTCACTTCTTAGTGGCTCATCATTACTGCATTCTATTTTTTAATATTTTTTTTGCTGTACCCGCCTCCAAATGGAACAAATAGCAAATAAGATAGTGAAGAACACTGAAAATAACATCTCCCAAAGCAAGTTAATAGACAATAAAATAGCAACTGAGATTTACAAAGGATGTAGAAGTCATGATGGAAAGTTTAAAGTGTCAGGAAAATTTAGTATCAGGAATTGTTAAGAAAGGCTTTTGGCATGCTTTGCATGGCACAGGGTCTAGTTATTTGCCTGACTGTCTGTTTCTGCTGTCCTCACCAACGCATAAGTGCTCTAGGTCTCTTACATTAAGCAATGCCATCTCATGTCACAGCACCTGCCCTATGGAACAGTATTCCTTCTCCAAACGTTTTTGCCTTCTGCCAAGTGCTAAAGATCTGGCTGTTCTCTTGGATATTTGTGTGGGAAGTAAAACAACCCTTCCTGGTTAATTTGGCTGTTGTTTTCTTATTATTTGTAAAATGGAACATTTTTTTCAGACCACTGGCATGTGATATATTGAGTGTTTATGACTGATATTT